CGATGAATCCACTGTCATTTTACTTGCGGACAAAAGGGGTGTGACGGTTATATTGGATAAAGAGGATTAGGTTAGTAAAGCGAAACAGCTTCTGAGCGACACAACAACCTACCGCCGCATCGAAAACGATTCAACAACGCAACTGACAAAGAGAACGTTGAAACTGCTCCAGGAACGGAACCAGATCACAAAGGCAGACCATGCTAGAAGGATGGCCCGCGATCCGGACATAGCACAATTCTACGGGCTTCCAAAGATGCATAAAGACGATGTACCACTAAGACCAATCGTATCGCTCCCAGGCACACCTACGTACAACCTAGCGAAAGTGTTGTGGAGACGTCTCAAGCACCTAACAGTGGGATCACAGCATTCTATACATAGTGCACAGCAATTTCTGGCGAAGCTCAAAGGTATACGAGTAGATCAAGACGAGTTAATGGTATCGTTCGACGTGACCGCACTTTTTACGTCAGTCAATTTACAGACCGCATAGCAAGCAATCACCGAACGGCTGGGCCAAAATCAGAAAACCATCGGAATGCTGACGACTGAAAATCTGTGCAAGCTACTTGACCTATGCCTCGCGACCTATTTTGAATTTGCTGGACAGAATTACGTGCAGGTGAAAGGAGCGCCAATGGGATCCCCAGTGTCAGGGCTCTTGGCAGAGATAGTCATGCAAAAACTTGAAGAGAACGCACTGCGCATAATCAACCCAAAGATGTGGATCCGATACGTTGATGATACATTCGTGATACTGAAACGTAGTCAAGTAGAGGCTGCATACCAGTTACTCAATAACATCATTGAAGACATTCATTTTACGATGGAGTCTGAAATAGATAACCAGCTCCCATTCTTGGATGTGTTAGTCACCAGAACGATTGACGGTGAGTTACAAACATCAGTTTACAAGAAAGAAACACACACCGACCAGATTCTAAACTACTGCAACAATCACCCGAAATGTCATAAAATAAGCTGCATGCGAACTCTCGTAGAATTGAAACACATTGCAGCACTCTTGAGGCAAAGCGAAAAGAAGAGATGTATCTGTTCAGATCATTACATCTAAATGGATATCCACATAGCTTCGTCCGGCGATGTCTAAACAACAAACTTACGACCCCTCAGCCTTCTCAAATGACAGCAAAGAGAGTTATTCTACCCTATGTAAAGAACATCTCCGATATGACAGCAAGATTATTCAAATGGCACGGTCTTACAGTGGTCCACAAACTAACTGTCACATTGAGGAGAACTCTATCGTACCCCAAAGCTGGACCTGGAAGACACGAAAGACGGAATGTTGTTTACAAGATACGATGTCAAGATTGTGATAAAAACTATGTGGGTCAAACAGGAAGACGACTGTCAACAAGAATACAAGAGCATAGGAGAGCTTCTAAGAACCATTACGCTCTCTCACTGATTTCATTACATACAGACGAAGAAGGACATCACTTCGATTGGAACAACACAGAAGTCCTTGCAAAAGGAGAGACACGAAAAGTAAGAGAGTTCCTCGAAGCATGGTACTCAACGCAGCATTTGATAAACAAGCACATAGAGATTGATCCAGTGTACCAAACGTTAAGGCGGAGGGAACTAAAACACCTTAAAAAAAGAAGAAACCGTCGTGGTCAGCTAAACGAGCCATCAACAACAGCCGGGGCAAAACCATCTCACGGATTGACCGTATCTACCAGAGTTGGGCGGACCGGTGAAGGTCACGGGGCACAGATCGAGGCCAGTTCAAATGTCACTTGCTGATCGACGAACAAGTCAGCGGATTAGATTGGACCCTGTAGTGCACTGACGAAGTCACCTCGCTTGGTGATGAAACGTTTGCATCCCAACTCCGAAGCTCGGCGAACAAGTGAACTCAGTAACGAGTGCGATGTAGCGACGGGACCAGTTAATTTTAATTTACAAGGGAGCGAGCTACCCTGTCCGCCTTTTCATCGCCATAACATGTAAGTCATTAGACATTGAGCTGCCCAATATCCTATCTGGTAACTTAGTCAAAACGGTCGTCATCGTCTCCCGTAGCTCAATAGTCTTCATCACGCACTGATAAGATTCGGTTTGCGGGTTCTAGCTTCACACGAGGCCCGATGCAATCCGCACTGCTGAGGACCACCGAGAGGATGGAACAGATATGCAGTGTTTTTGGGGTGTGTGTGGAGGCTTTCTATCTGCGTACAAATGTGACGAACTTCTGCCTATAAACTTTACTTAATTTCATTTTCACAAGTCCAGTCAATATAAGCTTTAGGTATCCAGATGGGCACATTTTCAGCAATTTACAGTATCAACTGCGGGTTAAGTCAGATGACATCTTTTATGAATGGATACCGAAAAGAGAAAAAGACACATTGTGGCGTTCTTGAGCACTGAGTGCACATTCATAAACAGAATCCTGATGTTTTTCCAGCCGACATTGTGTAGTTTTGTGAGGACATTTTTCTTAATTGGTTTCAACTGGCCTAACAATTCATGACGGAAACCAACAGGCCGGGAATATTGCGCGGTATCTGGGCTTAGCATACAAAAATATCGGTCTTGTTGATTTTGAAAATACTTTGGGCAAAAGAGCTGTCAGATTCTTCATCTACAACATGTTATATCCGCTGTAGGATAAAGTATTAATGACGTTCAATGAAAAGGCAACGGCCTATTTAAAGGCTGCTCAGATGATACGGCTATGTACTCACGATGACGCACCAGTCTTTGACTCTCGAAACTGACAATCTCTATTGTAATTGATCCAATTCCCCATGCTTTGCTCTCGTCGAAGTCATGATTAAATCTTAAGCGCATAACTGAGTGCCCTGACTAGTTATGTTCGAATATCGGTGCCTTCGCAGTTTGGCTCACATCTGGTGGGAACACCGCGTGAGTAACGAGCGTGTTCGACGCCTTGCTTTCGGCACAGGAAAAGGAACTGAACCGCTCAGCACCGTTATTTCATGCTCCAGGCTCCGATGGCTGGGCCACGGATTGCGCATGCCAGCCCACCGACTTCCGCGAGGTACGCTGTTTGCTCACCGGAGGTGTGGATGGAAGAAGAGAAGGGGTGGCCAAGCTATGACTTAGTCCAGAGGAATGAAGGCCCTTACTTCGGAGCTGGCCTCGGTTGGAGCGTCACGGCTCCCTGGTTGATGTCCAAAGGACGATGAATACGTTTGGCTAGATGCACTTGCTGACATGGCAAGGAGCCGACCTCATTGGCGTTCGTGTTGTGAGTTTCTTTGTCCTTCTCCATCCTTTTTAGCCTCCCCATCCAACCACCATCTCATTTCTTAGCGTAATATTATTTTACATAATAATTTTTCTTTTTGCCTAGGAATGAGGCCTATCCGTTGCTGGTAGCTCAGCTATCATGCAACTGTTGTATTTATTTTCCTTTTCCTTTATGTATTGCGGCACAGTAGCTGAGGTGTTTTACACCTCTGGCTAATGTGTATAATGATGATGAATGTCCTGACTTTTGATTTCCAACTGTGTCACAAAATCCATGACGATCGGCATTATAGTAAAATATGAATCAACTGCGCTGAGCAACCTACTCAAACTAACATAGCCGGTTCTTTTCTTAAAGTGGTTGTTTCAGCTACGTCTATGAATCCATATGTTAAGAACTTGGGTCACCATCGGATTGCGTGGTAGCTTATTCAGCCAGGTGTACACTGTCATTTACTTGGTTGCCGTCATGTGTTGTGTCAGTTTATAGCGTGTTCTACTTGACGAAAGCAAGGTTGAAAGGAGAGCCGAGGCTTATGAAAATGGCCATAGCATCGTGTTCCAAGACCTTACTCTATCCCTATTAATAAGTGGAGGGTCCAGGTGGACAATCATTTGACCGACTGGTATCCATCGAGCAGTGACCTGGCCCAAGGCACTGTACTGGAGCCGATTTTGTTTCTGATCCATGTAAGCGATGTGCCTCAGCTACTCCAATCACCTTGTGCATTGTTCGCAGATGACTTGAAGGTGTGGAGAGTAATCCGCACACCCAATGATTGTGATTTGCTTCAGCAGGACCTCGACCGCCTCTCCACGTGGTCTGCAGAGGTCAACCTTCCGATCAACCCGGTCAAGTCGCAATTCATGAGGCTGGGTAAGTGTGAGCACTGTCGAACCTACACGGTGGCTGGTCAATCGTTGCATCCCGCGCCTTTCATGCACGACCTCGGTGTACTCTCACGATACGAACTAAGATCCATGGACAACACGAATAGGATTTACCAAAACAGCCTTCGTATGCTTTGGGCGCTCAGACGCAGCTTCAACACTTGGTCCGAAGACATTGCCACTCGCCTCTTCGTCTCAATAATACGACCAATGCTAGAGTATGGCTCTCCTACGTATTGTCCTATCACCCGGGGCGAGGTAGAAAAGCTTGAGCGGGTGCGGCATGTAGCCACCAGGCTGATTCCCAACTTACGAGGTGTGCCGTACGAAGACCGGTTTAAGAAACTAGGGCTGTACACCCTAGTTTATCGTCGACAGAGGGTTGACCTCATCAAGACGCACCGGATATTACATCTGGGAGATTACCCCATGTTGAGGCTGCTGCTTCATCTGCGCACACCAAGCAACACACGAGGACACCGTTATAAGCTTGTCGTACCGCATTTGAAGCGGGTCGCTCACCAACTCTGTTTCGAACGTAGATTGATGAATGAATGGAACGACCTGCTGCAGCACCTAGTTGAGGCAAAGTCGGTGTCGGAATTTAAGAAATTCCTGGACAAACACTTTGCCGACATAAAATATATTGAGCGCAACACAACATAACGAGTCTTTGTCCCTGAGTAATGCAGCTACACAGAGAAACCTCCACTTGCTGCTTCCAACCAGTATTCAGTACTCAGCAAAGATTTGTATCCATAATCTTGTTTCTTGCTTTAGCTCGGTTTTTCGTCATTTTTTGTTTTTTTTGTACGCTCATTTAGCAGCTGAGCTTTGCCACACACGCCTGTTTCTTTCAGGTCACACGTTATTTTCGGAGCGAACCAAATTTCGCGAGCTTTGGAATCATCCCAGCGTTTTAACGAGGCCGAACTGGCCTCCCGGACCCACCTTTTGGAGTGCGTGTTGTTGGATGCCGAATGGATAACCTCCCAGATGGGGCATCACATCGCGCATCTGTGCGCCGATTTGGGGATTCGATTGGTATCCGTTACTCCGGCAGGAGAACTCGCCTCCTGTCTTTCCACTCCTCTGCATCCGATGAAAAAGGTTTGTTCACTTTTTGTCCCACCTTCACCAGTTATCGTTCTGATCATGCCATTAGAAGTTAGCACACGGACATGCAAAGTAATCGCACGGTGCTCCTTTCCTAATGATCTACTTGGGTGTTGATTTTGCCCGTCGACTTGCCTGTGTATGTTAGCCACGTAAACGATGCGTTTCTCTCGCACTTCCGGCATGCGGTCTTTGCATTTTCACTCTGTTAAAGGTACGACTGCTCCATGAAGCCAAGTGGCCACATTCGTTTCTCCCAATGGTCCTACTCGAGTACCTTTTGCCCTTGAGGTTTTTACTAGTTTAATGTTCCACAACACCTCGTTCCCACAAACGGCACTTTTAGTATCCACAGCTGACCGTTTCGTAACTCTATTACTAGTCGATCGCTCGCACTTTGCCTACTCGTATCGTTCCCAACCAAGGATGTATGGACCATGCTTTTACTGCGCTTTAGGTGCTAAAGCAGCTTCACGCGTGCCGCAGATCGACTGTTGCTTTGTTCCTCGAGTGCATTGAACTTAGTCTGCCACTCCATCCTCTTCTGCATGTTCAGATAGGTGTTCTTATTGAATGTGCGAACATACGATATGCTCGAAAACTCTCCGTCATTTCGGGGTCTACCGTCGTCAGATGTATGTCTAACAAGTGACTTTTGCCGTCGCAACGAGACTGGACCTTAACATGGTGCGACGGTTTGCGTACCTCATCGACCCATTGAGCTATACTGGGTGATGCCTCCGAGCATCTTGAGAGCTACTCCTACCAGGTTGGTCAGTGGTGAGAGGTCAGACAAACTCAGTCTCCTGGTCCTCCAGGTTGGGGGTTTGAAATGGGATGGCGTCCATTTCTGTAAAACTAAATCACTGCCACCCCGCTGCCTTGCGGACAGGCTTTTGAGCCAAAGGCTTTGGATGAGGACCCTAATCGTTCTCCTGTCTAGGTCTGGGCGCCCTGGCAGTATCCCAGCCCACATACAACCATGACATTTTCTTCAAACATAAACTTCATTCTGCATCGGCCGTCGCGCAGATTATCAAGGGTCGCCTTATCTGCTGCATATAGCAGGGTGGATAAGCGAAACATGCTACTGCTGGCGCCTCCCTTCTTTCTTTTCCACCTTTTTCTCTTACTCCCATCCCGGCCCTCATTACTAACCTTCCTTCTATAATTCCCAGCTTAATTGACAGCAACCGAAGTGCTACTGGAATAGAACCATCTGCAGCCACCATCCCACAGCACCTATCGGACGCCTATTAGCAAAAGTCCCTTATAAGGCCACGCTGTCCCGTTTCCATGGCGACATTCAACGTCCGCACTCTAAGACAAACAGGTCAGCAGGCTGCACTCGCACGCACCTTGGACACACTGGGTGTTGATGTGTGTTGTGTGTCCGAAACTAGGATTAATGACCCTAACGGGGTTATTGAATTAACTGCACCCGGCTTATCCTCTCGTTATTGGTTGCATGCATCCGGAGACCCCGATGCGGCACTCACGGGTCAAGCTGGTGTAGGTATCATTCTCAGCTCCAAGGCTGAGTCATCGTTGGTTGATTGGATTCCGGTGAACAGCCGTTTATGTGCAGCCCGTTTGACGACATCAGCTAAGGTGAATTCGTGAAGTAAAACAAAACGCTGTTTGTTTGTGATTTCTGCTTATGCTCTCACGGACTGCAGTTCTAATGCAGTCAAGGACACTTTCTATCACGAACTGAACACGCTGCTACGCAGTGCTACTAGTTCAGATATTATAGTACTTGCAGGGGATATGAACGCACAAGTAGGGCGTCTGAGCTCTTCAGAAGCTCAGCTGGGTGGTAAGTATGGACTTAACGCCGAACGGACTGACAACGGCGAGCGTCTGCTGCAACTGTGTGCGGAGCACCAGTTGTTTCTTGTTAGCACTGCTTTTAGACACAGTGGGCGCCGAAGTGCCACTTGGCGTCCATCTGTAGCTGGATGAACCCAAATTGACCACATAACCATAAGTTACAGGTGGCGCGGTTCCATTCTGGATTGCCGCTCGTACTGGAGTACCTGTGTCGACTCTGACCATGCCTTGGTGCGCTGTCGTTTCTCCATGAACTTTACCGGAAGGCGCTCAAAGCGTCTCCCCCGATTGGCAACGGAGAAATTGTCCCAGCCCTCTGTCAGGCAAGCCTATCAAGAAGCACTTCATAGCGAACTCTCGCTGTCTTGTCCTAATGATACTGAACTTCAGTGGAATAGGATTTCGGCCACTAAGCACGACGCAGGAGCATCTGCTTGTGGCACTATCAGTCGTCATCGCACCAGTCACTGGATATCCGAGAGGTCCGTGAACCTTTTGGAAGCTAGAAGGCACCTCCCGGCTGGTTCTGAACACAATGTGACAAGACGGGCTATTAGGCGTGAACTAAAGCGGAGCCTACGTGCTGACAAGGAAGCCTGGTGGACCAGTCGGGCTGAAGAAATGGAGGAGGCAGGAGCAGTAGGCAATTACCGGAAGCTCTTCCAGCTAATACGCACCACTGGTCCGAGAAAACCAGGCGTCAGTGAGACAATCAGGGACAGCGCGGGTGCGCTGATACACAATAAGGAGCGCCGTATGGCTCGTTGGGCTGAGCACTTTGAACATCAGTTCAGCTGGCCCCCTGCTCCCGGCCCTCTTCCTACTCAGGTGATGCAGGACGAGCCATGGACGGTTAGTTTAGAGCCTCCGTCGAAGGCCGAGGTCCGAAACGCGATCACAGCCCTCAATCGTTTTCGTGCCGCTGGCCCGGATTCCCTACCACCTGCATTATTTAAGGATGGAGGTGCGGTCCTCTGCAAAGCACTGACCTCCCTATTCGAATGTATCTGGAACGAAGAGAGTGTGCCGGCTAATTGGAGCGAATCGATTATAGTGGCAATATACAAGAAGGGCAGTCGCACAGACTGTGCGAACCACAGGGGTATTAGCCTAACGCCAGTTGTGACAAAATTACTGGCCTCGATTATCGTTCGTCGCCTCACTGCAGAACGGGAATCTCGGATTGGAGAAGAGCAGGCCGGTTTTCGCCCAGGACGTGGCTGTATAGACCATATATTTACTTTGCGGCAGGTGCTAGAGCAGCGCCACGCATATCGCAGACCGACAATAGCTGTGTTCCTCGATTTCAAGAATGCGTTCGATTCAGTCGATCGATCGATTCTGTTCGAAATACTTGCGCGGAAAGGTGTTCCCACGAAATATGTGAACATCCTTCGTGCTCTATACTCGAACACTACAGGCCGCGTCAGGGTCTATGGTGCCCTATCGCATAGCTTTTCGACTACAAGTGGCGTTCGACAGGGTTGTCCGATTTCCCCATTTTTGTTCAATTTCGTCGTGGATTCTATCATGGAGTGTTCCCTTGCGGAATCTCACGATGTAGGTGTTGAAGTGCTGCCTGGTGAACGGTTAGTTGCTCTAGATTATGCGGACGATATCGTCTTGCTTTTCGACAATGTTGAGGCGGCACAATCAACCCTGAATAGCCTATCCAGAGTGGTCCCATTATTTGGTATGCACTTCGCACCTTCAAAGTGCAAAGTGTTGCTGCAGGACCACCAGCCACTCGATGACCCCTTGACGTTTGCTAACGAGGAACTCGAGGTGGTTGATCAATTCACTTATCTTGGCAGCTGCATCAGCAACGATGGGCGCATAGAAACTGACATGAGCTCACGCATTGCAAAGGCCAGAGCTGCGTTCTTGAACCTGCGTCATCTTTGGCGACAGAAGGGAGTTTCCTTCCGTCTGAAAGGCCGTGTATACAAGGCCACAGTGAGGTCCGTTCTTCTCTATGGTAGTGAAACTTGGCCCCTTCGGTCGGAAGATCTGAGGCGCCTTCAAGTCTTTGATCATCGTTGTTTGCGAAGCATTGCTGGTGTCGGATGGCACCAGCGTGTCCGCAACGATGATGTGCGTAGGCGAGTACTAGGTGGTGATGATCATGCTAGCTCCCTAGAACAACAGATAGCACTGAATAAGTTACGTTGGCTCGGGCACGTGCTACGCATGCCTGGTCACCGCTTACCTAGGAGGGCCTTGTTCAGGCTACCAGGTGTCGGATGGCGCAAAGCTCGAGGTGGACAGAAGTTGACTTGGCAGCGGGAAATGAAGTCACTGACGACCAAACTGGGTGCCGTTGGTCCGTCTCGCCTTCCGGGTTGGAGTCCACGTGACTCACCTTGTGCTTGGCTCGAGACTTTACAGGACATGGCTCGCAACCGACACCAGTGGCGCGTCTGCTGCCGTCTCCTAATCGGATTGTCTGTTTAAAGTGTGTTTGGCACTGAGTTAGCTGCGGGGTAATGGCTGATTATGACGCGTGGCAGTGAAAGCCGCAAGGAAGCTGTCTCGCCGATGCCGCCTTATCTTTGCACGATAGCCAGCTGTTTGTGACAGTATGTTGTCTACACAAGGTGTAGGCGCCTTGACCCTGAATCTTTGCTTAGGGCATTAAGGTTTTCAGGTAAGTCCCCCTTCTCTCCCTCTTCTTATTCTTTATTTCATAGATCCTCATGGTTGTATGGCAGCGAAGCATCAGCTCAGATGGCTGATGTACTGCTGTTGATGATGATGATGAGTGACTTTTGCCAGCGTTATCTCGTTTCTCTATCTTGTTCGATTTTGTTATGGGCCTTATGAATTATACCTTTTTGGAGTTTTACAAAACAAGCATTGATGCGCCGCCAAGCTGGACCTTAGTTGCTCTGGATTATCCGGACGATATCTTCTTACTTTTCAAAAGTATCTTGATGGCATGGTTAAGTCTGAACCGATCTTATACTGTTCCAATCCGTTGGCATGCGCTTCGCATTTTCAAAGTGTAAATTGTTGCTGCAGGACCACTAACCACTAGATAACTCTTTGGTTTTTGACGACGAAGAACTACAACCATGTAACAAATTCGGAATCTTATCCTCTGCATCATCAGCGACGGGCGCATGAGTAACTATGACCCGGACTCCCTGAATAGCTCTATT